ATACACTGGATTAATTTTAAAGCTAGGCCTTGCACCCATGCCCTTATACTCCAAACTTTAAGCAGTGTTTGCCTCTGGAGTGGGGTTGGTGCTAGTAAAGGGGCATTTATTTTTCACACTACAGCTATATTATTTTGTACTTTCTTAATTTTTCACCCTGTGCATAAATTTATTGTCATTAAATTTTTGACTAATTTACGCAGCCAAAGACCTGCCTTTTGACATTGCCTTCAAGAGGCACTATGGGGACCCTTTCACTCCTAGATGCCTCAGGGCATTTAGTGAGCCCTACAAAGCCCCTGCTCACATGTTTACCCTATTTGTTTGCCCCTAATCCTGAGACAACCTCTGGTTAAGATCCCCAAGGGTAAGGACCAAACCTCTTAGTTTGGCATTCCAGGACCTTCTCACAAGGCTCAAACCTCCCGATGCTGCCTCATCTCCTGTTTCCACCTCCCTAAACCTATGCCCAGTGCTGCTCGCTGCTCCCCACAAACTTAGCTCTTGACACCTAGGTCAGCACCTTTGTTCATGCAAGCCCTCCATCTAGAATTCCTTTTGTTTTTTTTTTTCTTTTCTCTCTCTCTCTCTTTCTCTCTTTCTTTCTTTTCTTTCTTCAAAGATGGGGTTTCACCATGATGGCCAGGCTGGTCTTGAACTCCTGACCTCAGGTGATCTACCCACCTCAGCCTCTCAGAGTGCTAGGATTACAGGCGTGAGCCACCGCGCCCGGCTAGAATTCCTTTTCTTATCTCCCATGTGTAGTTGCTAAAATAATACCCATCATGAGACTCAACACCTACCTCCTCTACGAATCCTCTGTGATGCCAGGCCTATATGTACATATACACATATCTGGGTTGAATGAGAAAAAAAATATATGTAAAATATATAATATACTTATAATATATATTTTGAGGCAAAATCTTGCTCTCTTGCCCAGGCTGGAGTGCAGTGGCATGATCCTGACTCATCGCAACCTCGGCCTCCCAGGTTCAAGCAATTCTGCCTCAGCCTCCCAAGTAGCACGCACCAGCCTCCATGCCTGGATAATTTTTGTATTTTTAGTAGAGACAGGGTTTCACCATTTTGGCCATGGTCTTGAACTCCTGATCCAAAGTGATCTGCCCACCTCTGCCTCCTGAAGTGCTGGGATTACAGGTGTCAGTCACTGTGCCCGGCCCATTCAACCCATATATAAAGGACATTTTTACAAACCAAGCACTGGGCTAGGTGCTGCTGTTGGGAAATGCATCAGGCATGGTCCCTATTCTTGGGGGATACTTCTGGTCCAGCTGGGGAAACAAATTAGCAAATTTAGTCTGATGGGTAACGTGACATGAGAGGCAGAACAACCCATGGCTTCAGGGCACTGACCCGTGCCCCATGCTTCCGGGCCCAAATCCGCTCTGCCACTCACAGGCTCTACGACCTCAAGCTAGGTGCTTCTCCCCACTGTTTCTCAGTGCCCTTATTTGTAACATGGAGATAATAAGAAAAGCAGTCTCTTAGGGTTGTTCACTAATGAGGTGAGTTAACTGATGTAAAGTGCTTAGAACACCGTAACACATGGTAAATGATACATGTTAGTTATTTAATACATGTTGCTTATTATTATTGAGACAGGGTTTCCCTCTGTCCCAGGCTGGAGTACAGTAGCACAAACATGGCTCATTGCCACCTCTGGGCTCAAGTGATCTCCCATCTCAGCCTCCTGAGTAACTGGAACCATAGGTACTTGCCACCATGCCTGGCTAACTTTTTGACTTTTGGTAGAAATGGGGGGGGGGGTCTCACTTTGTTGCTCAGGGTGGTCTCAAAACTCCTGGGCTCAAGCAATCTACCTGCCTCAGTCTCCCAAATTACAGGCGTGGGCCACTGCGTCCAGCCCATGTTACTTATTACAATTTCAAGGTTCTATGGGAGCTAAGAAGAGGAGAATTTCATAGAATAAGATCTTGAAACATTTACGATTATGGTTTTGTTGCTGTTGTTTTGAGATGGAGTCTTGCTCTTGTTGCCCAGGCTGGAGTGCAATGGCACAATCTTGGCTTACTGTAACCTCTGCCTCCTGGGTTCAAGGGATTCTCGTGCATCACCCTCCTGAGTAGCTGGGATTACAGGTGTCCACCACCAAGCTCAGCTAATTTTTTGTATTTTTAGTAGAGACAAGGTTTCAGTATGTTGGCCAGGCTGGTCTTGAACTCCTGACCTTAAGTGATCTGCCGGCCTTGGCCTCCCAAAGTGTTGGGATTACAGGCTTGAGTCACTGTGCCCAACCTACAATTATGTTTTAAGCAGAGGGAAAGTTTAGACAATAGTGTGGAGGTGTGAAGAGTGATGAGACTTTATCTCACAAAAGCCCCTTGGGTATTGTTTTAAGCTATCTTCAGGGCCAGCTGGGTAAGGATCTCCCAAACTTTATCTTCATAATTCATGCCACATCATTTACTTACTACTTTTTCTCTGAACAAAATCACTTTTTGTAACCTAAGTTTCTTATAAGGAAACTTTAAACCACATCTTTAAACAGAAAAACACAAGTACAAAAGATCAAAAATAAATAAAATGGCAGGGCAGTGGCTCACTGTAATCCCAGCACTTTGGGAGGCCAAAGCAGGAGGATCACTTGATTCCAGGAGTTTGAGACCAGGCTGGGCAACATAGCAAAACTCAGTCTCTACTAAAAATACAAAAATTAGCTGGTTTGGTGGCACGTGCTTGTGATCCCAGCTGCTTGGGAGGCTGGGGTAGGAGGATGGCTTGAGCCTGGGAGGTTGAAGCTGCAGTGAGCCAAGATTGAGACACTGTGCTCCAGCCTGGGCAACAGAGGGAGACCCTGTCTAAAAATAAATAAATAAATAATTCATTTATTACTTAGTAACAGTGTTATAAATTCCAGCAAACCAAGACTGTCTGACTCTGAGGTCTATTCTGTTACAAGGACAGATTGAGAGGAAGCCATAGGAGTTAATGACGTGATAGCGCTGAAGTGAGACTTTCTCTCTGAGATTCTTAGCAGGATTGAGAACTGAAAAGATCATTCTTGTTTTCTGCTAGTGCCTGCCCAAGACCTCCTAAACCAGCTTGTGTAGTGTCACAGAGGGGAAAACATCCCCCATGTAGAGGAGACGAATGTCAAATGGCTCAATGTGTCGCCGGTTTTTTTTTTAAACCGGTGGATTTTTCAGAGAGGGGTGGGGTATCCTCCTCCGGGGTACCGTCCCCAGGTGAGCATTGTTCTCCTGAGTCACTGCACTTGGGGAATGAGGTTTCTGGGAAATGCCTTTTGTTTCTCCCATTCTCACTGTTTACCTGGTTATGCTTGGCGTCCCGGGCTGATGATCAATAAAGGATTAGATGTGAAAACAAACCAAACCTGCTTGCCCTTAAATAATGTTATTTCAAGGGAAAGGTCTCAACCCTGAAATAAACCAGGTTTCAAGCAAGAATTTGAATTCATTTTGACAACATAATCCAGAGCGCAGGATTTACCTTCAGGCTATGGTTTTTTATCTGTCAGTTTCACTAGGGACAGAAGGAGAACTGAGGAGAGGAAGGATCTTTATTTTCTGGCCAGTGAAAATTTATTATTATTGTTACTGTCACTATTAATAGATTATTCGCTGAGCTTCTTTGAATAGAAAATGGAAATGAAAACTCAACTCTTTCTTTTTTCCTCCCTCTGTCCTTTCTTTTCTTTCTTTTCTTGTTCTCTCTCCCCTGCCTGCCATTAATTCTGGAGATCTATGATGTTTCAGGACAGTGTTTCCCAGCTTTGGTTCCTTTAAACACCAGCTTCTCCATTTCTGCATCCAGTCACTACTAGTGGTTGCTTAATTTTGAAAAATTGAATTCCCTTTTCTTTTTTTTCTTTTGAGACAGGGTCTCACTCCAATGTCCAGGCTGGAGTGCAGTGGTGCTATCATGGCTCATTGCAGCCTTGACCTCCTCCTGGGCTCAAGCAATCCTCCTACCTCAGCCTCCTGAGCAGCTGGGACTACAGGGGCACACCACATGCCCGGCTAATTTTTGTATTTTTTGTAGAGACAGGGTTTCCCTATGTTACTCAGGCTGGTCTCAAACCCCTGGGCTCAAGCGATCTGCCTGCCTCAGCCTCTCAAAGTGCTGGGATGACAGGTGTGAGCCATCACACCCGGGTTTCCCTTCCTTTTCTCATATGTTTGGTCTGATCCTAAAACAATGATCATCTGGTTGTAAAGTCCCTACCAATACACTCAAAATAGGAGATGTAGGTCAATATCAACTGGGCAGCAGGCGGCTCCTAAAGCCACCTGTGGGACCTGTGAGGCTTGCCAGGGAGGGGCTGCAGAGGTCTTCCATTACTGTTGGCTGACTGACCATACAGTGAGATCCCCACTTCCTTCAGATTAGTGTTGCTCAAATTTTAGCCCCAGGAGAGCTTAAGAGATTCCTGGGCTGCATCCCCAGATATCCTGACCCAGTGGTGGGGGGGCCTGGGATTCTGCATTTCTAACAAGTTCCCCCAGGTGATGCTGCTGCTGCTGGTCTGATGACCACAGTTTGAAGTCTTGGGCCACTGGGCATCCAAATCACTTGTAGGTGCTTATGAAAAGGCAGATTCCTGGGCACTACCCCCCAGATATTCTGATTCTCAGGTTCAGGGTGGCTCCTGAGAATCTGCCTTATCAACCTGCCCTGGAAGGAACCTCTGAAGACCACCCTTTGAGAAGCACTGCCTAGACCACTATTAGCACCTGTAACGCTGAGGTGAGGAATGCAGAGGTGAAGGGATTTGCTTGGGTCACTCTGCAAGTCAGGGATAACTCCTTCCTGTTGCCGAGGCCCTAAATCTTGGAGCACCCTGGACTCCTCTTTCCCTTCCAGCCCATAGTCAGCATGTCAGCAAATCCTGTTGGCTCTCCTTTCAAAACACATTTAGGTTTTCTTTAAGACTCTAGCAAACAAATGGACTTGGGTGTGGGAGAGTAAATGAAACTAGACTGGTAAAATGTGGGTCATTGTTGAAACTGAATTACTTACAATTTTTTATTTATATTTGAATCCTTCCATAACAAAAAGTTTTAAGCGTTTGATCCAACAAATTTACTTCTGGGACTTTATCTTAATGAACTTTTTTTTTGCTTCCTGTCCAACAATTTTTTTATTTTTTGAAACGGAGTCTCGCTTTGTCACCCAGGCTGGAGTGCTGTGGTGTGATCTCAGCTCACTGCAACCTCTACATCTTGGGTTCGAACGATTCTCCTGCGTCAGCCTCCTAAGTAGCTGGGACTACAGGCATGTGCCACCATGCCCAGCTAATTTTTGTATTTTTAGTAGAGATGGGGTTTCACCATGTTGGCCAGGCTGGTCTCGAACTCCTGACTTCAAGTGATCTGCCCGCCTTGGCCTCCCAAAGTGCTGGGATTACAGGCGTGAGCCACCACCCCTGGCCTAAGTTCTCAAAACAGGAAAACAATAAACTATGGAACACCCCTTAGTAATAATTAAGAGCATTTATCCAGGCTACATACCAACAGGGAAGAAATGATATACTATTAAGTAAAAAACTAGTACATTAAGCCATATAAATTGCATGGTTAAAACTATGCAAATAATTGTATCTTTGAAAAAGATTGAAAAATAATTATCTATGTTCAGAATCTAATCATTTCCCGCCTCCTTCAATGCAATGGCCTTTGTCTCTTGGGAGAAGAGGGCACTGGAGTCCTAGTCTAGGGGAGCCCAGCACCCCAGCCTCTCGCCTTCATACCTGTAACAACCCCGCACTGGTCTCTCTGCTTTCACCCCTTCTCTCTCCAACCTCCTCGGCAATGGCCAGCTAGAGAGGTTCTTCAGAAATGGGAATCAGCTTGTGCCCTTTTCTGCCCAGAACCCTAGGCGGCTTCCCTTATCTCTGCAACTAAAAGCTGCCTACCATGGCCAGGCTGCAGAATGTCAGCTTGCCTGCTCTATCTGCTGCTCAGTTCCCTGCCTACGCCTGCCTCTCCAGCCATGCTGGCCTCCTTGCTGCTCTTCCAGCCTCAGGGTCTTTGCACGTGCTGTTTTTCTCTGCTGGGAATGTGCTCCCTCCCTCCTTCATGGTAGCTCTTCAGAGGTCTCACCTGGGCTCCTTATCTAAAATAGATCCACTGCCTCTTTTTGCTCCCATGCCCTTTATATTTCTTCATAGCACTTATCAACACCTCCCATGGTATATTTATTGTCTTCTACTTTCTAGAATGCAAATTCCTTGAGAACAAAGACTTTATGTTTGATTCTCTCCTGCATCCCTAGTACCTAGCATAGAGCCTGGCACATAATAGGTGATCAATAAACACCTACTGAATGAAAGCATGTTGTACTGAGAAACTCTCCAATGGCGGCTGTAAGCTGCATGTGGGCTTTGTTTCTTGGGTAACCTCCTCTCTTTAACCCTTCTGGCACAGGCAGACTCACAGCAGGTGCCCAGTAGAAGGTAAGGTGGCTGACCATTTTTTGATCAGAGGCCTCCATGGCGCGCAGGGTGGAAAGTGCATTCTGTGAGCTAGAGGCAGCAGAGCATGGCGGCTAATGGAACTGGCTCTGGGAGGTCAACTTCTGGCTGACCACCACCAGCTGGGCAGCCTTGGGAAAATTACGAGAATTCTCTGGGCATTAATTTGTTCTTGTGCAGAAGAAGGATAATGACAGTTCCTATTTCTTAGGGCTAGGGAATAAATAAGAGAATGTCCATAAAGCACTTAGCAAGCACAGTTGCCTGGCACGGAGGTGACAAGCAACAAGAGGCAGTCAAATTAATCAACAGCCACATTTGCGGCTTTGTCTCTTTCAAGTTTACAACGCGCTCTTATGTACACGCTTTAGCTGATCTGGGCCTGTGAACACCTGTCAGTTTTTACCACCATTTTATTTATTTTTTGATGAGGGAACAGAGTCTCGCTCTGTCACCCGTGCTGGAGTGCAGTGGTACGTTCTCGGCTCACTGCAACCTCCACCTCCCAGGTTCAACTGGTTCTCCCACCGTGGCCTCCCGAGTAGTTGGGACTACAGGCATGTGCCACCATGCCCGGCTAATTTTTGTATTTTTAGTAGAGACGAGGTTTCGCCATGTTGGCCAGGCTGGTCTCAAACTCCTGACCTCAGGTGATCCACCTACCTCGGCCTCCCAAAGTGCTGGGATTACAAGCATGAGCCACCGCATCTGCCCACCATATTATAGGTAAGAAAGCTGGGTCAGAGGGAAAAGTGCTAGCTCACAGAACATAACTTAATCTTGCTAGAACTTCTAGAACACAAGCAATTATTACTGCTGATGTGAATCAAGGTGATTTAGAGCTGGGCGTGCAGCCCCAGCTACCAGAGAGGCTGAGGTGGAGGATCGCTTAAGCCTGGGAGGTTGAGGCTGCAGTGAGCCATGATCATGCCACTGCATTCCAGTCTGGGAAACAGAGCAAGGCCCTGTCTCAGGGGGAAAAAAAATTGGGATGGCCCCACTGGAGTCTCAGACTCTAAAGTGTGTGCCCAATGTAAGGATGTAGATGGCAAATGAATTCCAAGATGAAATCAGCCAACCAGCCACAGGCTTACAACCTGGTGGGGGCAGGGAGTGCATGGGCTCTCTCATCTGCAGTTCTTTCTCTGGATAAGGCCTGAGAGCAAGTCTGGACAGGCAAACCATCTCTCAGTCCACCCAGGACTTAAAGCACTTCATTGTTTTCCCAAGAGGGAAGGATGCCAAAGCCCTTTCTGCAGTTTCTCCTGCTTAGAGCTGGGTGTCAGCTCTATGCAGCAAATGCTGACTTTGGTGTTTGATTTGAGATCTCTGATACACTGTGGCCTCTGAGCTCTGACCCAGGCTGCTCCTGACAAAAAAGTGTTTACCCCCACAGGTAATGAAGGGAGATGGCCCAGCATGGAGCTCTGGGCCTGGCTCAGTGGAGGCTCTGCCCCTTTTCCTGGATAAAGGCCGAGGGAGGTGACATGGCAGGGACAAGATCTATGAGGGTCAGACATGGACTTTTAGAACCACAAGGTCAAAACACCATGGACTCTCAGGAGTCATGGATTACTAAAACTGCAGCATCCGAGAGACCGAAACTCATGACTCAGAGCATCCTAAGCCTCATGGTGTTGGCAGAGATTACATCAGAAAGGAAGGGTCAAAAGGTGCTTCTCCACTGAGAACTGTGATGCCTTCTGGACCGAGGGCATCTTCTACGTGGTCAGAGCCTTGGCTAACATTCCCTTGTGAGAATCTAGCCTTAAGTTTCCAGCTGCAGGAGGATGGCCTGGAGAACAGGCTTTGGATATCAACCTAATGCCAGCCATCTACCAACCAGTCCCGTTGGGGCAAGAGATCAGAAGGTGCCAGGTTTGCCGTGGCCACCAACCACCAAAAGACTGTGAGAACACCGTGATAGTATGGCATGATGGTATGTGTTCCTTGCCAGGAACATACCACATGAGTGGCACTTAGTCGCCCACAGAACGCTGCACAGCACCATGACAGATAACTTCCATTTGCAAAGTGTTTACAATGCAGGACAGTGTTCATGCCCTAAACCCCAGAAATGGCCTAGGAAGCCAGAGACAACAATGGCTCTGGCCAGGAAGTGGGGATGGCTCTTGAGGGCCACATTGGGGGACACCTTGAAAAGCAGTGACCCACACCAGCCATGGCCTCATCCATTCAGTTAAGGTCACTTTAGGTACCTACGTTAATGGAATTCACTGATTTTCAAAAACCGCAGAGAGTTCTAGAGTAGTCATGATCTTGTATCAAAAGCATATAGAAATCTCTCTATAAAAAAATCTCTCAAGAGTTCAGTATCTCAGGCCGCTCAGAGTAGAGTGGATTGAAAGATGGACGCTGGACTGCTTTGCCGGTGTGAGAAATTCCCAGAAGAGCAGGAAGCACGTGTGATGGGAGATGCTCCTGCTCCTAGGAACCCAGAAGTCCAATGCCCTGGGATATGGAATGCCTCCCTCCTTCAGGGGTCCCTGGCACTCTTCTCCATCTTTGGCAGGTGAGAAGAGGAGTTTGCAGTGCTGGGAACACCTCTGGCTGCCAGGCCTGGCTGGAAGGACCAGCTCAGACTTTGGTCCCTCCAGGATCAGAAGGCCTGGTGTTCCGACCAGAATCAGAACTCGTCCCGCAGCTGAGGGGGCCTGTCCATGCCGAAGAAAGAAGACAGCCTCCCCTGGAGGTCCCGCTCCCGCTTCACAAAGGCAGTGAAGGAGGAGACACAGTTGCCAATAAAGTGGTCGGCTTGGCCAAGGATGTACAGGTCGACCTGGGCCACCTCGGGCTTCAAGCTCACCACCTTCACCTGCAGGAGGAAGGGCAGAACATATAAAGTGAGGTGGCTGCAGGCCAAGGCCTGCTGTCCACACTCCCACCCTCCTTCCCTGGGCTGCAGTTACAGACACAAAAGGAGGGGCAGAGAGAAGGAAGATATGGTTCAGTGTCTGAGGGAAGCATTGCCCAGCCGCTGCCTAGGCTCACCCCATCCTTCCCCACTCCAGGAGCCTCAGCTGCAAACACACCATTCACGCCTTCATGCCTTTGCTTGCACTGTTCCCTCTGCCTGGAGTGCTGTTTCTTCACCGTTAAAATACCGACCAGACTCTTTTATCTTATTTTTTGAGATGGGTTTTTGCTATACCGCCCAGGCTGGTCTCAACCTCCAAGGCTCAAGCAATCTCCCACCTCAGCCTCCCAAGCAGCTGGGACTACAGGTGGGTGCCATGACACCTGGTTAATTAAAAAAAATTTTTTTAGAGGTAGGGTCTTGCTATGTTGCTCAGGCTGGTCTTGAACTCCTAGACTCAAGTGATCTTTCTGCCTCAGCCTCCCAAATAGCTGGGATTACAGGGGTAAACCACTGTGCCTGGCCTGACCAGACTCTTAAGGCTAAGCTCAAGTTCTGTTTTTCCTAAAGCCCTGGCCTGATGGGCTTCCCCACCAAACCAGAGAGGGGAGCAGAGGGCATCCTTCCAGTTCTGGGCTGGATGTCTGCGTCTCCCATGTATCCCAAATCAAAGCCCAAGGTCCTATCCAATCTACCCCCGAGATAGTCCTCAAAGGTGAACACTTCTCTTGAGGGCCTGCCACTCCTTGGGCCCAATCATCACAAACTCTTCCCTGATGGACTGCAATAGCCCCTCCTGGTCCCTCACTGCCTCTCCTGGTCTGCTAACCACAGAGTAGCCAGAAAAAACTTTTTGAGATAACTTCTCCCCATCCTTCCTGGCCTCTAAGTGGAATACCCTTTAATGATGCCCTATTGCCCTTCAGATAAGGGTGACAAATTGTGAACGTGGCCTACAAGGCCCTCGTTGGGTCTCTTCTCATCCCTCCCCCATCATCCCTTCAACTCCAGCCCCTATCCAGGCTCCTGCCTCTTCAGGACCTTTGCGTGTGCTGTGCTGTTCAGGGCACACCTCCTAGTTCTCTCTTTCCGTTTTCGTTTTCAGTGGTGCCTCCTTGGGGAAGTGCTCCCTGGCCTCCCAGTCTAGGACAGCGTCCTCTGCTCTTCACTCTCATAGAACCCTGCTGCTCTACTCAGAAGCACACATCTCTGCTTATAGTTTTCACTCTTTAGTGATTCTCTGATTAGCATGGTCTCCTGCACCTGACTGGGGCTACAGCTGTGTTGGTTTGCTTTCCACTGCTGGCCAGGCCCAGCATAGAGCCTGTCCCAGTAAAAATCTGGTGAGAGGACAGATGAATGAATGGACCTGCCCATCTTTCTACCAACCTCCTGAACCCACCTTGTGGCACACGCTATAGTTCTCTGCAGTCTCTTTTCCTGGGTCTAGAATGTGAGCCCTGGAGGGCAGGACCACATCTGATTTATTGGTACTCTGACTCAGCGCTGGACCAGCTTAATGAAGGAGCAAGGCTTAGTTCAGGATAAGGGTGGCCTCTGAACCCATGGAGAAGGGAGTTGCCGGCTGGGAGAGATGAGAAGACTGGCATAGGGACAGGAAATAGAAAATGGCAAGAGGTTCAAGGTGTAACAGATACATTGACTCCAAAAACTCACAAAAAAACTCCCTGGGACTCTCCAAATGCTTCAACTTAGTACAGAGGTGGTTGGGGGTTGTAGGTAGGTGGGGGGAGTGTGGGCAGCGTTAGGGCTGAAAGTGCTTTGCTGTTCCACAGAGATTTCTGATGTAACAAAAATCATCATCTTGCTATCTGGATTGTAGCAAAGAAATAATACCAGTTCAATCATGGCCAAAATCCCCCAAACAATTCCACTCACATTCTGAAACTTACCCACTCTGTGTCATGCCCATTATAATTAGCTCTGGGACTGCCTGAGTAAACTCTATCCTTTCTTGGGACTTTGGTTTCCTCAGCTACAAAACAGAGGGTTTGGGTTAGATGACCCCTAATGTCTCGCAACTCTGATTTTCTCTTAATTATATTTTTCTTTTCTTTCTTTTTCTCTTTTTTTTAAACAGAGATGGGGTCTCACTATGTTAGGCCAGGGTGGTCTTGAACTCCTGGCCTCAATCAGTTTTCCTGCTTTGGCCTGCAATTACAGGCACGTGCCACCATGCCCAGCCAAAGCTCCAATTTTCTGTTGAGTGGGTGGGGAGGAGACTAGAATACACTGACCTAGCACTTCCTCTCTGCGCTGGAACTTCCGGTGTGTCTGGGGTGAAAGAGAAGGGGAGCCCCTTGGCATAACACCAACGGCACCCAGTGTCTGCCTCTTAAGGCCTGCATAGCATTTATGGTTTTCACTCATTCTACAAAGTCCTATGGAATGCTTAATGCCAATTCAGTCATTTTATCAATACGTACTCACTCATCATCTGAATATTACTCTTTACTGATACAGTAAGCACTGACCAAGAACATTCTACTATTTACTCATGTACTGAATACCTACGACTCACGGCTTCTTTAAGCATTTACTAAGCACAAAGCTCCTTTCCTTCATTCATCAGCCACCAATTTCTACTGCTAATGATAGCTAACTTTACTGGGCACTTATTTTGTAGCAGGACCTATTTCAATTTCTTTACATTTGACCTTCACAACTGCCCTATGAGATAGGTACTATTCAATCCCATTTTATAGATGAGGGAGCAGAAGCACAGAGAGGTCAAATAACTTCTTCAAGGCTGCACAGTGGGTAAATTCAAGTTCTCTGACTCCAGAGTCTCTGCTGTTAACCCCTCCACTAGACTGGGATCTCTCCCCAGAGCCCACTCTTTACATCCTCATTCAACAAACTGACTGCCTACTAAGTGTCAGGCACTGTCCTAGACACTGGTGATGGTAAGACAGGGTTTTAGTCCCAAAAAGGTTGAAGCACCAGCCTAGACATCAAGTAATATAGCAGTGATTCAGCCTTGGACCCTGCCTTCAAGGAGCCCACAGCTCCAGGGAGGAAATAAGGCATATTTCTACACCAGTTTCATACAGTTCAGAAAGTGTGCAAGAGAAGAAATGATACTGGGCCACGAAGGTCCCAGCAGGGGCACGTGAGCTCCAGGAGTGGACAAGAACCCGGAAGACTCTGAGGAGGAAGCCTCTGAGCTAGGGTTTGAACGAGGGATAGAAAGTGAAGAGGAATAGTAGGTTCAGGCAAAAGGTTTCTGGGGGAGGCTGTGAAGCATGCAGTAGGCAGTGGGACCACCCTGGCTCCTCCTTTCATTCCCTTCCTGCTGCACCCCAACTTGGCCCATACATACCTTCCCTTTGAATAGCTGTTGGAGCTCAGGCACGTAACTCTCAGAATCAGTAGCAACGTAGACTGACTGGGCATCCAGTGACTTTACCCAGAGCTTCACAGCCCTCTGGATCTCCTTCAGGTCAGGCAGGCACATAGGCATCGTGAGAGGTGCCGCTGTGTTGCGGCTGTAGCCCACACACTGTGGAGAGGCCATGAAGTGCGAGCCTGCAGTCCCGTCCTTCAGCATGGCACAGGCATTCTTCTACGGGAAGCAGAGAACAGGGTTAAATACCAGCAGCTGCCGTGGAACCCCAGTAGCAAGAGCTGGTAAGTGGAAAAAGACAGGCTATACAGGAAGACCCTAACTACATTTTTTGTTTGTTTGTTTGAGACCGAGTCTCACTCTGTCACCCAGGCTGGAATGCAAGGGTACTATCTCCACACAAGGCAACCTCTGCCTCTCAGGTTCAAGCAATTCTCCTGCCTCAGCCTCCCGAGTAGCTGACACTACAGGCATCCACCACCACACCTGGATAATTTTTGTATTTTTAGTAGAAATGGGGTTTTGTCATGTTGACAGGCTGGTCTCAAACTCCTGACCTCAGGTGATCTACCTGCCTAGGCCTCCCAAAGTGCTGGGATTACAGGCATGAACCACCATGCCTGGCATCCTAACTACATTTTTTTAAGAAAACGTTGAGGACCAGGCACAGTGCCTCACACCTGTAATCCCAGCATCTTCAGGAGGCCAAGGCAGGCTGATGGCTTGAGCTCAGGAGTTGGAGACCAGCCTGGGAAACGTGACAAAACCCCCTCTCCACAAAAAATACAAAAATTAGACAGGTGTGGTGACGTGCGCCTGTGGTCCCAGCTACCCAGGAGGCTGAGGTGGGAGGACCACCTGAGCCTATAAGGTGGAGGCTGCCATGAGCTGTGATTTTGCCACTGCACTCCAGCCTCGGTGATGGAGTAAGACCCTGTGTCCAAAAAAAAAAAAGCATTGAGAGAGGAGGAACATGTATCAAAAGAGTTAATGGTGGTTATTTCTGGGTGGTGGGTGGTGGGACACTGGCTTTTTGAAACAAAAATTACCTTTCTTGGTCTTACTACATTATCTGGGACATTCACTGAAGAAGTCTGAAAGGTGGTAGTGCAAACGGGCAGCCTTATCTGATTCCTGACTACAGTGGGAACACTTCCAATAGCTCCCCAGGAGGTATGCTATCTGCTGTGGTTTCAAGAGATAGCCTTTATCAAGTTAAGGTGGGTCCATTCTATTTCTGGTTGGTTACAAGTTTTTATCATGAGCAGGTATTGACTTTTATCAAATGCTTTCTTGGCCCCTGTTGAGATGATCATATGATTTTTCTTCTTTGGGTATTAATATAGTCAATTTCATTACATTCTTGTGATAGATTTTCTGTGTTTGTGTTGTGTGCTGATATGTTATGGGGTTTGACCTGTTAATATTTCACTTAGGATCTAAGCAGGAAGAGGCTAGAATTTTCTGAGGTGACCTTATCTGAGTTTGGCATTAGCGTTATGCTAGCTTTATAAAAAAGAGCATCTTATATCTCTTGATGTTGCAGAGAAGTATAGATGGGAAGTACTATTCCTTGAATGTTTGGTTGGAGCCACTCATAAAAATATCCTGGGTCTGGGAGGCTGCAGCAAGCAGAGACTGTGCCACTGCACTCCAGCCTGGTTGACAGAGCAAGACATTGTCTCAAAAAAAAAAAAAAATCCTGGTTCTGGCTCCCTTTCTTTGTGGGGGTGGGGGAGAAGGGGAGAGTTTAGTGGGTAAATGTAAGATTACTTCATCAATTGACTATGAGTGAATTTTAATTTTACTATTTTTCAAGATTTCTGCAATGAGCATTTCTAACATAACTATATATCTTCTTCTATGTATCTTAAGTAAATTAAGGTAACTGTCTAAATTGATTCTGTTATTTTCACACAGAGGTGAAAACCCCATTGGAATATGAGGATTCTGCACATTTAAACAGCCTCCAAATTCTGGAAACATCTTCATTTCTTGGGAACCATGCCTCGTCTCCATAGTTGGTTTTTCAACATAGAGTCTACTAGCCAGACACTTAGTTAGGACAGAGGGCTCCTGGACCATGGCCTCTTTACAGCTTGCTGTCTGACCTTGGGTCTGGCTCAATTTCTCAGTTTATCCATTTGTAAAATGAGAATAAAAACAGCAACTGCTAATATGAGAGCTGGCTGGCAGGCACTCTGGAGTTACATTTTGATGTGTGCTGCAGTGGGATGATGGGACACAATCCCACAAGTCAGGCCAAGTGAGAGCTCTCTGCTCTGACTAGAACAAGGGGGCCAATCCCTACAGGCCTGGGCCCTGCTCCTGGACACATCCAATCTAGCCAGTGAGAGGAAGGGGAAGTTACCCAGTCAGAGCCGATGCGCAGATGAATGCCCACATAGGGCCGGACAAGGTGGGTACGAATCTGGGCCTCTCCTGTCCTCACCATTTCGTCTGACCATACCATGTACTTCTGAAGTGGCCTGTGTTCCTCCAGGACAGGGAACTGGGCCGGGGCTCCTGGCAGGGCGAGCACCGGATGTTCTTTTGGAGAAAATCTAGACAGGAGATGGAATGAGGGAAGTCAGAGGACACACAGAGAGCCCGGCTACCAACCCCAGAGAAAAAAGAACGGTGTTGCACCATTCCCCAGAGACCCTGCGGAGGGGCCCCTGTAACACGAAAGAAGCACGAGAGGTTGTGAAATACCAACGGGCTGATAAGGAACCTTGGTGGCAGTGGCAACAGGCACAATATGCAATACTGTCCCGCCACTCGGAATTTACAACCCTCTTTGCTTGTTTAACAATTAAAACTTTATAGTAGAGCATTCCAACCTTTTATATGTCACGGTGGCTTCCAATCTGTGGTGCAGTAATTCACTCCAGGGTGGGGTGTCTGGACCAAGCCTTTGCCCTTTTACCTACATGGCAGGGCTGGGACATGCAGCTGCTTACAGAGGCAACGGCCAAGTCACACTCACAGGGAGTATGTACATTGGATTTGGATCATTCATTCAACATTTAAAACACATTTATTGATTGCCTACTATGTACTGGGGTCTGGGGGAAAACAAGACAGGCACGGTCTCTGCCCTATGGAAGGGAGCAGAGGTCTGCAGGTGCCCCTGTCATAACCTTCCAAACCCGCTTCTGCCTTCACACAGAGTCCACCTCATATTTATTTCACATCTGTCTTTTCTGCGGGAAGGCAGTGGCTCCAGTGTGAGTAGAATAGCGTCTGGCACACCCAAGAGCTTGGTCAATGCTTTTCTTTTCTTTTTCTTTTTTGATACAGGGTCTTGCTGTCACCCAGGCTGGAGTGCAGTGGCGTGATCTCAGCTCACTGCAACATCCGCCTCCTGGCTCAAGAAAAGACCCTCCCACTTCAGCCTCCTGCGTAGCTGGAACTACAGATATGTGCCACCAGGCCCAGTCAGGTATTTTTTTGTAGAGATGGGGTTTCGCCATGTTGCCCAGGCTGGTCTCGAACTCTTGGACTCAAGTGATCTGCCCAGCTCGGCTTCCCAGCGTTAGGATGGCAGGTGTGAGCCACTGCACCCGCTCAGTATTTCTTGACTGAACAAATGAGGAGCAAACTTGCGTTCCCTCGTCAGCTAAACCCAGACTACCTCTCAGCAACATGAAACACCTTGCTGTGCCATGTTCACAATGCACTTCCAAGTTCTAGATCTCTGTATACTTCTTCCCTCCACCTGGAGAAGGAGAAGTGCCTTCTGCCACCCAAAATCCTTTCCTTAAAAATATGAAATGGGAACGGCCATTCCGGAAAACAGTTTGGCAGTTAGGCCTGCAATTACCACATGACCCAGCAATTGTACTCTTAGGCATTTATCCAAGAAATGAAAACTTATGTTCACACAAGCATATGCACAAATGTCCCGTGCAGCTTTATTCATAAGAGCCCCAAACTGGAAACCCAGGTGTCACTCAACAAATAAACAGTTAAACTGTGGTGCATCTATATCACGGAATATGAACCCCCCCAAAAAGGAACACGCTATCAACAAAGGCAACAATTCAAATGATGTCAAGGGAATTATCCTTGGGTTGGGGAGGGTGGGAAATCTCAAAGGTCATATATTGTACGGTTCCATTTGTATAAACAATAAACAATAATATGGAGAAGAGAACAGAAATGGAGAAGGGATTAATGGTTGGCAGAGGTTAGGAATGGTGCGTATGTGTTTAGGGAGGTGGGTGTGGTTATAAACCGGCAACACAAGGATCCTTGTGATAATGGAACCGTTCAGTGTCTTAACTATGGTAGTGGATACAGAAACCCACACATGATAAAACTGCACAGAACTAAATACACACACACACACACACACACACACACACACTCAGAAGTACTAGAAAACTGCGTAACATGGGTAAATTGTATCAATGTCAATATCCTGCTTGTGATACCGCACTATAGTTTTGCAAAATGTTCCCATTGGGGGAAATTGGGTAAAGGGTACATGGGAGCTTGCTGTCTTATTTCTTACAACTGCAAGTAAATGTACAATGACCTCAATAAAAATTTCATATTCAAATTATGAAATATTTCAAGCCATCCAGGCAAATTCAGAAAAGAATTTAATAATTTATATACCTATGACCCAAATTAGCAGATACTAACTTTGCTTTGTTTCAGGTTAAAAAACCACACACACACCTAAATCTGAGCTCATCCTGCCATCATACTTCCCAGAGGGTAATGTGTTTTAACGTATGATTACAATTTTACTATAGGCATCAAAAAGGAGGGGAGCATTCTTCTGAGTGCTTTCTATGGAGTGGAATGATGAAGAATGTGGGTTAAGCCAGAATGCCTTGTTCTAATGTTGACTATGCCACGAGCTAACTTGGGCAGGTGACTTCACCACTCTATGCCTTAGTTCCTTGTCCATATAACAAAGATTAACAGTTCCTACCTCATCAAGCTGCTTTTTTTTTTCTTTTTTTAAAATTGTGGTTGGGTACGGTGGACACGCCTGTAATCCCAGTACTTTGGGAGGGTGATGTGGGCAAATCACTTGAGCCCAGGAGTTCAAGACCAGCCTGGGCAACATGGCAAAACTCCATCTATCCAAAAAAATTTTTTAATTAGCCAAGTGTGGTGGTACATACCACCTGTGGTCTCAGCTACTTAGGAGGCTAGGTGGGAAAATCACTTGAGCCTGGAAGGTCAAGGTTGCAGTAAGCCATGATCATGCCACTGCACTCCAGCCAGGGTGACAGGGTGAGGACTTGCCTCAAAAAAAAAAAAAAAAAAAAAAGTATATACTTAAGATATATAATATGATATTTTGATATACATGTATGTAGTTAAATGATCAGTACAGTCAAGCTAATTAATACATCCATTTATAGGGCTACTGAGAGGATTAATGTATTAATCAAAGCAAAGCATTCAGAACAGTACTTTGGCACACAAAGCTCTCAGAGAATGCTGGCTCTCATCATCATCATATTGCATGTAACCTAGTTAAAAGTTACATACAGATCTAATCAACTTTATGTTTTAGAGACTTGACCATGTTGATGATGTGGTTGTATTAGCTTCTCTAGAAGTTTTCCATTGTGTACAAACTGCAATTTATATCTGCCTGTTTCCCTCTTGCTGGACAGTGAGGTGGCTCCAATCTTTCCCTCACACAACAGTGCTGCAACAGACGTGCCGCTCGTTCTCCAACACAGACCGTTTGCTCAGCAAACATCTTCCATACCTCCAAAGTCAGCTGCAAATCCCAAGCCTCACCTCCTTAAGGGGGGTTCCCTGCCCCACTTCTCTTGCTGCCTTCTGCACAATGATGTGCCCTGCAGCCATCTTCCCTGCCCATGGAACTGTCAGCTGGTGAGGCTGGGGACCCAAGCGACCTGTTTGCCATTGCTCCCACATACACTATCCAAGGCCTGTGTCACTTACACAAGCCTTGGACGAGTGACAAGAAAGTGTTCCTTGATGGTACAGCTGTGTGACACTTGTGTTGCTAGACTCCAGTTTTCTTTTCTTCCTTTTTTTTTTTTTTTTGAGGTGGAATCTTGCTCTGTCTTCCAGGCCAGAGTGCAGTGGCGCAATCTTGGCTAACTGCAATCTCCGCCTCCCCAGTTCAAGCAATTCTCTTACCTCAGCCTTCTGAGTAGCTGGGATTACAGATGTCTGCCACCACACCTGGCTAATATTTGTATTTTTAGTAGATATGGGGTTTCACCATGTTGCCCAGGCTGGTCTCGAACTCCTGACCTCAGATGATCCACCTGACTCAGCCTCCCAAAATGCTAGCATTACAGGCATGAGCCGCCATGCCCAGCCTAGACTCCAATTTTCTGTTTATATGTACATATCTGTGAATTGTTTATTGAGCCTCATTATGTGACAGGCAATGCTCCGATTGCTTTATGTATATCAAATCATTTGATTGTCACAAGAGCTCTGTGAGGGAAGTTACTGTCATTCTCATTTTACAGATAAGGAAACTGAGGCACAGAGAGGTTAAGTAATGTGCTCAGGGTTGCACAGCTAGAAATTGGTGGAGCTGGAATTTAAATTCAGGCAGTGCGCTCCAGATCCTATGTTCTTAACTACTACCCCTCACTCCCATCTCAAAAGCTGTGTCTGTGGCTTATTCTTCTGATTCCCAGCCCCTAGCACATGGTAGGCATGATAAATATTTTTAGAATGAATGAAGATGATTTGGAGACCTTGCCACAGAGACCAGATCAGGCTGTCAGAAGTTAGAGAAGGAAGAACTCATATTACTTGAGTACCTACTATGGGCCACGTCTTCAGCTAATCTCCTTTCAGATGCCATCTCAAAGGATTTTCAAAGGAAAGGCAGAGTAAAACTCCCGGGGGGCTGGAACATTAGGATAGAATCAGGATCTGTGCCCCCCACAAACCCCCAACCTCTTGGAAAGCACCTGCAGCCAACCTTCAGTGAATTCCAGACTTGGAATGTGTGTACCCTCTACCTGGATCTGGACCAGCAAAGAGCTGTCCCAGTGGGACAACATCAGCTCAGACCCAACAAGCAGCAAGAGGTGAAGGCTGATCTGCTCACTCACTCTTGGTGAGGTAGGACAACTCGGTCTGGAAAGAAAGCGAGGGGAACAAGGATCTTGGCTGGAAGGAAAATCTTGACTAGCTCCACCTGCCCTGTGACTGCTCACCCTGGGTCAGGCCCTTTGCCTACAGCTATCCAGCTGAAGAGGGCTGGCTTTCCTGCTGCCAGGCCCAGTGAACCTCTGGGGTTCTTCCCTCCATGACTGTGCTTCTGAGATTCCCCATCAAACTGGGACTTCTCTGTATACAGAATCCACTTATATGCCCAGTGTATATTTGTGGGACAACCAGTGGATGAACCCAATTGAGTGCAGAAGACCCAGGGACATGAACAAGGTCCTGCCTTGTTCTTGATGTCCCTCCAGCTCTCTGCATGGCTGGCTCCCTCTCACGCTTCTGATCTCATTCTGGTTCCCACAGGGAGGTGGCAGCCTGGGAGAATGACAAGCTCTGCACTCAAATACCTGGACCATTATACATGAGA